GATTTTTTTTTTCCTGTCCGTGTCGGGGACCGGGGGGGGGCGATGCCAGCGGCTTTTTGGGGCCTCAATGGCAGCAGTGGGGTAATTTTGGGAGGGGGGTTGCAAAGAAAAGCACCCCCCAATAACTATCTTGTCATTAGGGCTTGTATCTCCAATCATCGATCGCCAGCGCGGCTTGTCCGCTCTTGCCCGTGAGCTGTTGGAAGAGCTTTTTCCCCTCAAGAAATTTTTTCTCCCCAATCTTCAAGTTTTTGTTGTTGTTGTTCTGTTTTGTTTTTATTTTTTACTGGTTGTTTTGATTCCCCCCCCCCCATTTTTGGGGGTGTTTGGGTGTTTCTGGCTTTTTTGGTTGGGGGGGGGGACACGGGACGGGACGCTGTTCATGTTGTTTAGACTCAATTCTTTGGTTTAAAAAATAAAATGTTATGAAAAGTTTAATTTCCCAGGGCTGCTGGGGGGGGAGAAGAGTACTTGTGTTACCTGGAACAGACTGGGACTCAACTTGTAGGGATTTAATTAGGGGGGAAAAATACCCCTTTATTTTTATGAAGTGGGAGATGGTATATGAGGCTCTTACCTCGCCCCCCCCGCCCCCCCGAAAAGTGGGGGAAAGTTTTGTGTAGTCTAAACTAGAGAGGAGTTTGAGCTCCTGGGTTTATTCTCTTGGCTTTGCAACTAGCTTGCCCAGAGATGGTAAGATCTGTGGGAGCACTTCCCAAAGTAATGTGTAGGAATGCCACCTGAACCTTGAGAGAGCCCACGGCTGTTTTCAAAGCACCGTGCACATTGAACGCAGCGAGAAACGCTCATTGAGGTCACTTGCTTTTTGTTGTGGCCCAAGAGGCTGCCTTGCAGCCTGCCTTTAATGCCCAGCTCTTGCTGTGTGGCCGTCAATCTCAGTTGGCAAGTTCCAACTTGGGATTTCAGCGTACTCTTCTCCGCCTACTTGGGTCAGGTCATTGCTGCTTCTCCTGGAAGTTGCTGTAGTTAAACTTTTGCCAACTCACTGTGCTTTCCGTGACATGCCGGTCAGCTCCCTGCTTGCGTTGGCTTAACCCACACTTAGTTTTAAAGTTAAGGCAGCAACTAAATTAACTGGTGGCAGCCTCTGTGCAGACATTTGTGTTGTCTGGTGAATTGGGGTCATCCCTGCAATCCAAAAGCGACTCGAACTGATCAAAGTGTGTGCCTGTGTGGTCTTTAGCCAGCTCAGCTAAGTGAACGTTAAAACGAACCAGGGCTTGTTGCTACACGGAGTTAATCAGCAATGCAGCTTCCTGATTAGCCCTGCTTCTGGAAGTGGATTAAGACAAATGGGAACAAGGCACTCTGTCTGGAATAGAAGCGTGCCCAGTAAAGCTGTTGGGCTTTAAACTTGCCTTTTTGTTTTTTAATCTGAATTAAAATTTGAGGCTAGCCCTTACAGCAGTGCAGGCTGTACATAGACAAAGCCTACTCTGAAGGTGGACGCTCTGCCACGGAAGCTATTGGCAGGCACTGTGGGAGGGAGCTGGAATGGAAAATGACACCTGATCTCTTTACAACCTCTGGTCCTGGCAGCCAGAGGGTAGGGAGGTTGGCCTAGCTGCTAAGCGCAGGTGGTATCATGCGTGTTCAGCAGATCCTGCTTGAGCAAGTGTTCGTATAGAAATGAACATGTTTGGAAGCTGCCGGCGCCATATGAATACACCTTACGTATGTTTAAAGTCCTGAATGGTGAATGTTGACCCCTCATAAATGGGAGTCTGCTGTTTTGACAGCTTGTTGGAGGACCTCCCCCCCCAGGCAGATTAATAGCCAGCCCTTCCCTGTGGAGAAGGGAACATCCCGAAATGCCACGTGCTGTTGTAAATAACAAAGATCAGGCATTGACTGGGTGCGTGTTTCCAGCGTGACTTGAGACAACCCCTCTTCTGTTGCAGTTTCTATCCCCCAGCGACCAAAGATTTGACCACTGACAAAGCCTGACTCAACAGAACACAGCTCAAGATGGACACCGGTGTGATTGAAGGTGGTTTAAATGTCACACTTACCATTCGGCTACTTATGCATGGAAAGGTACCTGCTATATCGTTTCTTTATACCCCGGGTGGAATTGGGTCACAGTGAATGTCTCTGAAACCTTTGGTCCCATCAGATTAGTGTCTTTCTGGGGCGGCTTCTCTTACTGGGACTGAAACGGAAGTGTGGTAACTGAAATATTACTAAATAAAATGGACCTAGTGTCTCGGCCTGACTCGTTTATACAAGCATTAGTCTCTTTGCTGCTAGGAATTTACTTTTGGCATGTGGCCTGTTCTGGTTAGACTGGTATCTTGTGACCTTTTTGGAAGGGAGGCTTTAAACCTCAGAATATCATGGAAGCCAGTGGCGGGGTGGGGGGAGAAAAGACTAACTAGAAAATCATTTCCTCCCCAGTACAATGTACCGCTGCTTTTGAACTTGCTTTGACTCCGTACTCTGATAGTCATTGTGAGCTGGTGTTTGGATATGAGAACCGTGGAACTGTCAGCATTTACTAATCGGGTTTCATGTGGAATGAGATGGTGGATGACTTCTTTCTTGGCAAAGGAAGAAACGGGTGTTGCCAGTTTGCTTTTATCTCTGTAAACCACTAACCAGTGCTTCTTGTTTGCCTTCTAGGAGGTTGGAAGCATCATTGGGAAGGTAAGTGACTAGGTAACTCCCTGTTCTCCTTCCTTTGGAACCCCTGTGAATCGGTAGTTTGTAATAATCCCTCTTTCTCTACACAGAAAGGAGAATCTGTAAAGAAGATGCGTGAAGAGGTAGGTTCTGGGCAGCAAATGACCATAATTTGGGTTAAGATGCTCCCTAAATCGAGTTACAGCAGAAAAGAAGCAAAACTTAGGGGCCCTAGAAGGAGTTCAGCTGGCTGCGGTTGGGGTGGAAACAAACAAGCTCATTGTAGGCCGCAAGGCATGCTGGGAAATGTAGTTCTTCCTGGCCAATCTCAGAGCTGATCTGGCAGATGGAAACTAAGATGGCTGCTCCCAGCCCAGAGCAGAACTGCAGGGGGGGGTGGACTTTACAGCATAAAATGGCTTGTTTGTTTGTATTGCAGTCAGGCCTCATGGCTCTCCTGTGTTGAATACTTCACACAGTGAAACTCTTCATCGCATTGTAATGTTATCCAGAGACCCTGTTGGTTCTATCAGGACTGATCCCGTCCACTCGCCCGGCTGCTCACATTTCTGTCCTTTCCTCCTCCAGAGTGGTGCTCGCATCAACATCTCAGAAGGGAACTGCCCAGAGCGGATCATCACTCTTGCTGGCCCCACCAATGCCATCTTCAAAGCGTTTGCGATGATCATTGACAAACTGGAAGAGGTGCGTGGCCCCTTCCCGGGCAGGCTCTGGAATCGCAGCTGCCGTGTGCTGTAGATGTGATGCTGCTTGACCAGGCGGCATTAACCATTTAGGTGCTGGCACCCTGCCAGAACTGCTGCCTCTACACCATATCTGTGGGGCCCCCATCCTGTAGAGAAGGGGGCAGTCTCTTTAGCAGCCAAGCCACACATTGGCCCCTGCACCGTCCTCAAATGCCACTCCAATTCCTTTTCCTTATCTGATTTGCTGCTCTGTTTTCTGCTCTTTCCCCTGTTTGCCTTATGCCATGCTGAAGCTGC